AGAAGTGATAATTGACTTAATCATCGACTTGAAACAGCTTTGTCCTCGCTCATCATCAGGTCTTCCTGGTGAGTTAAGAAGAAGCCCAGGACAGAAGTCACAAGAGTGGGTCCCAGCATCAGTTCCTAATTTAACCTGTGCTGGTCCTTTAACCTCTCTCCCTCGGGCTTTCTTAATCTGCCGAAGGAGGCAGCTGGGCCAGATGGTCCCTGGCATTCTGTGCAACGGTCCCTCTGGGAGAAGCAGGAAGTTACTCAGAGAGAGGTCATTAAGAGGCTTGATGATTCAGCCTCAGGGACAGGAGGAAGACAAGACTCCCTGAAGTCCCAGTCAAGAATCAGAGCCACTAGAGTGAGCTTGCTCTCAAGACTATTTCCGCCTCATTCTGCGCACTCACCCGCCACCCGCCACCCACGTGCTGTCCGGCACTCAGTAAACACTTGCTGGGAGGAAGTCTCATGGAGTCAAGGCCTCTTCTCTGTCCCCGGCGGTGGTGGGAGGGAACATGAGCCCCTTCCTGTCCCGACCACCAGCCGTGCACAGGATGTGGGAATCCAGCAGCCCAGCTAATAGGACCAGTGACCACGTCTGCCCATGAAGTGTGTACATACACCCTTCACACTCACGGCTGGAAGGTGGTATTTAGTAGCCAGGTTTCTTTGCTCTTCCTGGTTGAACGCTTCCCATCTCCTATTTTAGACTTAAGGACATTGAATCCCAAAAGGGGGAAGTGGAAGATCTGGGATCCCTTTTGGAATACAAGTCTGGGTCAGAAATTACAACTCCATATCCAATACCAGCCCTGGTCCCAAAGGCGGTGACAGACACCGTCTCGTCTCCATGAAACCACCTCCGAGTGGTTTCTCTACACTCGAACCAGGACAAGCAAATTACTAAGGCTGTTCTTTATCCTCATGCTTTGCTGTTAGTCCTTGATTGAAAGCTAAGGCATCCCTGAGTAGACTACCAGAGCAATCCAGGTCTCTAAGAAGAGAAGGAAATCCAGGTCTCTTAGAAGGGAAGAAAATTTGCTGTATAGGACTAAAAAGATTGGGTTTTTATATTTCCTACTTATAGTCACATTGTTGCTTATTTGTAAAAACCATTCCACTCATAAAGTGGACCAGCCATTAGTAAGTAAGAGCTCTTCCCACTAATTAGTGGGCCCGTGTGGAAGGAGCATGTTAGAGGTTCGAGTAATGGGCAGGTGCCCTTGACTCCTATTTCTGGTTCCTTCACTGACATGCTGTGTGGCCTTAAGCAGTTTCTCTGGCCTCACTTTCCCCAAGAAGCAAGTTTCCCACTCACTCTTCTCGGGGATGCTGAAAGATCAAAGAAGGGGTGTTTACAGACCTTTTAAAGATGCCCCCATGAAGTTTATTAGAATGGCCTTGATTTGATAAGTATTAATTAATAAATCCTTTGATTACTTGTAGACCCATGTATTTGAGCTTCTAATTAGCTTGTTGGGCATAATTGGCCACAGTGATTATACCAAATCCCAAATCCTAAGGGAACTAGCACAGTCATAATGACGATTGTGTGTGTGTCTCTGATGGGCCTTCAGTTGGAGTCACAAAGCACATGGGTGTCTTTACCTGGTGGCTGAGAAGCTGCAGGGAGCCAGGAAGGCTCTCCTAAAGTGACACAGATGCACAGGAGCTGCCCAACCAGCACCTCTGGGGCCCAGCGTGGCCTGTTCATAAAGGGAGGCAAGGCCAAGTGTCTGTCTGTTTGCTTCTTGTTTTTGCCCTGCCAGCCTCAGAGGAGGGTTTAGCAGGCAGGGCCTCTGAGCTGTGCTCCATGAGGAGACAGAGCATTTATAGCAAGGAGTGACCATCTGGTGGCCAGCCCCTTGGCACAGCTGCATCCTGCTGCCTTCATCTCCCTGCTGCCCGGCCCCACATCCCCGCTAAGTGAGGAGAAAGGGTCAGGCCGGTGTGCCCACAGGGGCATCTCCCCTGATTCCAGGGATTCAGCTAATGTCCCAGTGCAATCCTGTCTTGAAAAACTGTCCATTCAGTCACTTCACTTCCACCTCTCTTTCTAGTATTTCTTTTGCAAAAAAAAAAAAAAAAAAAAAATTGTTTGAACCCCTGCTTGAGCAGACATGAGGCAAAGCCATGGTTCTGCCTCCTGTTAGAAAATGTCTGCAGACATCACCCTGGGAGAGGCCAGAGCCAGGCAGCCAGGGTTCAGTGCCGAGGACAGGAGCCCGGGAGGCAGCAGTGGCGGTGGATCAAGGGCCCACAGCAGAGCCGGGTGGTTTGGTTGGGCCGTTGGCAGAAGTTCGGCTCTCCACACCAACTACATGGGGAGCACTTCAAGGGAAGGCCTGGCTTGTTCTATTTTTCAAGGAGTTGGGGGGGGGGGGGAGGAGCTGCCAGGGAGCCAGCCACTCTGAGTATTGGCTGGGGTTCTTTACCAGGTCCGGAGACTCCAAATTAAAGGCCCAAGAGAGGTGTTTGCAGGCACCCACACACCAGGTTTACTTGCTTTCCTCCTGATGGAGAGGGGACAGCAGGCTCTGGGTGGGCACCTTACCCCGAATGCTGCCTACCCCAGGGCAGAACCTGTGGCACCAGAGCCATCCAGGACCAAAGATGGGGACCAGGGATGTAGTTTGTAGGCTGGGCACAAAATGAAAATGCAGGGCCCTTGATCCAAACTTACAGAGAATTTCAGCGTGGTGACAGCAGAGCAATAAACCAAATGGGCCCTCCTGAGCACAGGCCAATAGCAGTGGTCCTGGCCATGGTGGAGGCAGCACAGGGCTGAGGGACCCCTCAGAGACCAGCCATCTTCCATCCACCCTTTTCTTCAAAAGAAAGGGAAGAGAGAGGGGGCGGGAAATAATTCTGTACACTTCCTTAGAGATTCCCAGCATGCAGACAATCAAATTGTATTTTGTTAAACCCCAGTGTGAGAGCTTGATAGAAATTGGGTTTGAGCCTAGTGTTGGTCTCTTTGATGTCCGCTAACCAGGAGACGAGAACAGTTTGGAAACCTACAGAAAGAAACCCACTGAACGCAGAAAAAACTACACCATCTGTGAGCATAGGAGGAGGAATACTGAACTATTAATGTAATAAAATATTTCCAGCTTTTTTAAAAAAAGAAATTTAAGAAAAGAATAATTTTGATTCTGAGTTACTCTTGTTTATGTCCCAGGATTTGGGAGAAGTCAGAATAATTAGGAATCATGATAAGATCTAAGTTCATTGAGTGCTTACTTTGTGCCAGTGAGCTGTACCTAGAAGGGGCCATTAATGCCATTTCACAGATGGGAAAACTGAGGCTAAAGAAAGTCTTGTCACTTGACGAAGAGCAAAACAATTTGGATGTAGGAGAGCCTGGACTCGCACAGATGCAGTCAGACTCCAGAGCCTGTGTGCTGGCCACTTTGGACCGTGTGCTCTGTCCGGTTATGAGGTCAGTATCAGGGATCCGATGATTCTGGTGCTTTTCTGGCTGTGGCTAAGTTCAAGTGGACTGTCTACAAGTGTCTGACAAGCGGGGGTCAGAGAGGAGCTGTGAGGGTTTTCATTGAGGGATTTAGCATAAGGGCATCAGCAAGGAGCCTGAGGCTCAGCCCAGTCGTCTGAGTCCTCCAGGCTCTGCGCAGGCGGCGTTTCATCTGTACCCCGCACACGCTGTCGGAGCCTGTGCAGGGCTTTGGTCACTTGCTTTCCTTGAAATGTCTCTGCACCCACTTGGAACCGCCCCTAAAGGAGAAGGAAATTATAGCTTCCCTTGGCTTTATGGTGACATGTACTGTATGAGCTGTGGGCCACGGAGGTGGCTCTAATTCAGGATAGTGAGGTCCTCCTCCTTGGTACATAGAACAGTATCAAATTCTGCCCAGCAGGTTCTGAAGAGAAAAGAATGCAGCCCTTCTGGAAGCCGTTTTTGTTTGTTTGTTTTTATCTTTTTTTAAATTTTTTGAATATATATATATATATATATATATATATATATACATATATTTTATTGACAGTATTGCCGATGTCCCTATTCCCCCTCCCCCATCCTCTGCCCAGCCCCTACCCACCCACCCCCAGGCCCCACCCTATTGTCTGTGTCCATGTGCCGTGCATATAGGTATATGAGTTCTTTGGCTTATCTCTTCTCACCTCCTCCCCCAACACCAAGATCAGTCTGTTCCATGCCTCCATGCTTTGGGTCTTATTTTGTTGGTCAATTCATTTTGTTTATTAGATTTCCCAAACAAGTGAGATCATGTGAGATTTGTCTTTCTCTGATTTGCTTATTTCACTTTGCATAATGATTTGCAGGTCCATTCCTGCTGTCTCAAAGGGTAAAAGATCCTAGAAATCGGTTTTATTATTCCAGTCCTTTAAGAAGAAACCGTGAGCAAGTGAGAGAGGGTCAGAAGCCCCAGACGACAGGAGTCTGGGTCTAGGATGACACCCTGAAAAGCATATGCCCCTGGGAGGAGTCGGGAGGATTCCTGCTTCACCCTCCTTTGAGCAAAATAAGCTCCAGTTCTAAGTCTAATAGTATAGAAGGGATGCGGTATGCATCAAATACAAATATAAATACTAGTAATGTGTGCCTGACTCCAACCTCTTTTGACATTTCCCAGAGGGTTAAGTAACTTTCTTTTTCATCTTATAAAAGGAACCCCCCGCCCCCAGCAGTGCTGCAGCCTTAATTATTCCCAGTAATTGCAGTCAGCTTCTTAGTTAAGGGGTGCTCTCTTGGAAGGAAAAATGCCCACCAGGGCCTGAGGAGGAGCTCTTTTTACTGCCCACTTTCCAGAACTGCCTCCATTCCCCTGCTCCCCCTCCCTGCGCACCCCCTGGTGGCTGCTGTGTCCTGGCAGCTTCGGGACCCTTGGCTTTCTTTGTGCTACAGAAAGAAGTATGGGCTTGACAGGCGCACATTGTTATCTTGAGTTGCCTGGCCCAGAATAAGGTCAAGGCAGCCCCCGCCCTCCTCAGGAGGCTTCCTGAGCTGCCTCGTCACCAGGGTGAGTCCAAGCTCTTACACATTAGTGGGCAGGAAGTGGAGTCCCGATGGGAGGCTGGGAATTTGAGCGCCTTCCCATTTCAGCACTGGAGGGAGGAAGCCTCAGGCAGCCCTCCGGCAGATGGCTACTGCTTCCTTCCCAGCTCTGTGCAGCTCCTCCGTCCCTCCAGCCTCCAGCCTGCCTCCGCGCTGCTCTCCCCGCCCCTCGCCGTGGAGGGAAACTTCTGTGGAGCTGGGAACTGTCTTAGAGAACTCAACAAAGGCAGAGCAGCCGGCAATGACTTGAAAAGAACTTGTTTTGTTCTCGTTCGGGAACCTGCAGGAAAATCCACACCCACGTTGCCAGGTTTTGAACTGGAGAGTGTGTGTGTGTGTGTGTGTGTGTGTGTGTGTGTGTGTGTGAAGCAAGAGGCGGAGGAGGCGAAAACAACTGTACAGTCTCTGCTTTGATAAGGAAACTGCCAGCTGCAGAAGTTCAGCGGCAAAGGGAGGACTGCAGCCGCATGAACCAAGCGCTCCTGAACTTAAACTGCATTGCTTTCTGTCCAGATATTCCAGTGGAGGCAGTTGGAAAACCTGTATTTCAGAGAAAAGAAGTTTTCCGTGGAAGTTCATGACCCACGCAGGTAAGCTAAGAAAATCCTTTCGTCTGGGAGGGCAAGGCCCACCAGCATGAATGATCCTATTTTTGTGCTGCCATCCTCGCTGTTCATTTTGGCAGGGAGAGGATGGGTGATCGTGGAGAACAGTTGAAACCGGACAGTAAAGCTTTGTTTTGTTCTATGTATGTCAATAAATGCGGTGGGTTCAAGTGTGTGTGTGTGTCTGTGTGTGTGTGTGTGTGTGTGTGTGTGTGTGTGTGTGTGTGAAGTAGCCATTCTCGCTCATCTCATTTCCTGCACATGTTAGCGCTCATGCATGTGGAGCTGTCTTTCTAAGCCAGGCATTTTAGGGAAGATTCCTAGCTCTTCGTAACCAACACCAAATTAAACTGGGCAGCAGACTGAGTCTTTTTAGGAAGTTTTGCCAGAAGAAAAGCTGAAGGATGGCTTGTCAGAGCTTCTGAGGGTGTGGCCGGTAGGAAAGTCCGCACCCAGGGTGACCTGCACGTGAAGCAGTTGTGCCAAACTGTTGGATTCCGGGAGCTGTGGGTGTGAGGGTGTCAGCCTTGTGGATGGATGTGAAGACGCAGTTCCTTTTCTCTGTACCTCACATCGTGTCCCAGGCGGCACTAGCGTAAGTGCTGTGCTAAGTCAGATGACAAACACTAGGGCCCTGGTTTGCCCTGCCGGCCTGCGTGGAAGGTGAGGGGCAGCAGGCATCCACGGCTTCTCCTCTTTTTCTGCCGCAGTCCTGGAGGTGAGGCAGTCCAGAAGCAGCTGCAAAATTCCCCAAAAGCAAGCCTGCCGAAGAGTAAATCACTTCGGGTAAGTCCAAAACATGGACTTACAGCCAGAAGGCAGTCCTGGGAAGACCGGAAGATCAGACTCTGTAGAGGGCAGATGTGGGTTTTCTGTGCCATGGATCCCCCAGCCCTGGCCTGGGAATGAGGATCTGGCACCAGCTCACTCCCACATGGCCCCTGAGCCTCTGAAAAAGCTGCTGTGCCTCCTGCAGGGCTGGGACCACAAGGCAGAGAGGGCGCAGGTCAGGGCCTGAGGCTTGTGCACCGTCTGGGTCCTGAGGCTCGTGCACCGTCTGGGTCCTGAGGCTCGTGATAACTGGTGGGGCTGATGTGCTGCTGGCCAGGCTGCATAATCTGTGCGAAACAGCCCCTCAGGTAGGGCAAGAGCTTACTCGTGCCCCACGGTCACTAAAGAAGCAAACGGAGAACATTTTAGAGAGTCTTGTTTTCACAGCCGGGTGAAGGTGGTAGCATTGAGCAGAAGAACACCTTGTCTGGCACTTCTCGGGGTCTTAGAGTCCAGAGACGCACCTCTGTAGAGCAGGAATCCGCTTGTGCCGGCGGAGTGAGGGAGAGGGGGAAATGCTGGAAATGATGGTACAACCAGAATGGAACGCAGTTATTTGTCCAGGTAAACTGACCAGACCTGTCTTAGGAGTGTGGAAGGAGGGGAAACTTACGTAAAAGGAATGAAATGCATGTTGCCACCGTGGGTCAGATGCAGAAAGGGGATGCTGGACAGAATAAAGCTAAGGAAGAGTAGTTTAAGGGGCCACGCATAGGACTAGACCAGCCGTGGACAAACTACGGCCCGCGGGCCGGATCCGGCCCGCTCGGCTGTTCTATCCGGCCCGCGGAGCCGAAAGAGCGGAGGGTTCTCTTGCTCTCCCCTCCGCTCCTTCACCAGCAGCAGTGTTAACATGGCAATGTCAGGAAACACAGCCGCAGCTCCTTCTTCTGAGTCCAGTTTAAGAACCCATTGTGGCCCTCGAGTCAAAAAGTTTGCCCACCCCTGGACTAGACCCTCTTCAAGCCTGTGCTCTGTTGGGGGTCCTGCTAACTCAGGCACCTTGGACATGCTGTGCATGTGTGTGTATGTGTGTGTGTGTTTTCTCTGGGTCTATTGCCCTGTCTGTGATACAATACTAAACTCCATTCCCCAAGGCCTAAGGGTATAGGAAAGGGTCCAAACCTCACATGTTACTATTATGTGAGCTGTTAGCCTATGAAATGAAGGTGATCAGTCTCATATTAGTTGTGTAGCTTCAGTATTTGGTACCAAGACAGGTCCACGGCCCTTAGAAAACTTCTGGCACACTTGGAGAGACAGGCAGAAGAAGAAGTGTGATATTTATTGAGTGTTCACCGTGTACAAGCACATTTCTCAACACTCGTTCCCATTAATCTCATCTGGCCCTCCCTGTAACTCCAGGAAACAGGCACCATAGTGTTCCTCCTCTACATCTGGGAAACTGAGGCACAGAGAAACGAAGCAGCTTGCTCTAAGTTACAAACAGCTAGTAAGAGTAGAGGCAGGTTTTGAACCCAGGAGTCTGACTCCAACGCTCACACACCTTCCTGCTACACTATATACAAGGTAGCAGTACCAAGCGGCAGATGGAAAAAACATAAATGCTCAAGGTCACCAGGAGCCAGGCTGGTCAGGGAGGACCCATCTGAGCAGAACCTCAGAGGGTGACCAGGATGTAAAACTTGAGGTGGGCCCTCAGGAGGACAGATGTCTGTCAGGTGGACAAAAGAGAAGAGAGAAAGTGAGGGGCCCAGGCAGCCTGTGCACAGAGCAAGGTCTTGTCCCCAGGAGGAAAATAGCCTCTCTCAGCCCCGAGGCAGCAGGGAGGGGCAGGGGAGGCAGGAGAGGCCAGAAAGGGCTCTTCAGGGCCTCATGGTGCTCCTTAAATTCAATGGATCATCCTGCTACTGGGCCTTGTTTGTTTAGAGCAGCAAGAACAAATCTGACCGGACATCCATAGGGATGACCAGCCCCCCCATCCCCCCACCCCAAACCAGGAAGTGAGTCAGAACCAAAGCAATAGGATGGAAGTGCAGGAGAGAATCTTGTTGTGAAGATACGAAGATGTCATCCATGGGGCATGTGGGGAACAAGGGATTCCCTCAGAGCATAGGCTTATTACGGAGGTGATGGGCACGGGTGGGGTCACAGAAGTGCTGTGGGGTTTATTTTCCTGCACCGCTGTCCTGACTCCCCCACCATTATATCTGCTGTTCTCTGCCCGGAAAACAGTTCCTTTCTAAGGTTTAGGCAGGACAGAAAAGTGGGTGGGGTGGGAAGAGCCTGGAGGGAAAGATGCAGGGAAGAGATAAATTAATAATGAAGCAGGAGGAAAAACTCTCAGAGGGTCTGATTCAGATGCTCTGTGGCTAGCTTGGAACCACCCAGACCAGAAGGCCTCTTAACTCTTTCTCTCTCACCTTATCTGAAAGAGATCAGCCTGGTACAACTCTCATTGCTTTCACTAAAATATATAGCAACTTACTTTTCCTTTCTAACACAGTTTTTCTAGGAAAGAAAAAAAAGTATTTACTCCCAGGAGCGGCCATTGCTAAGGAAGCCAAAATAGGTGTTCAGATGACGGTTTTTTTTAAAAAATTTATAATTTATTTTTAAATTTATACATTTATAGACCACAGTTCCTTTTTAAGTTTATAGATAAATTATCTTCAACTGCCTTTCATGCACTGGCATTTTCTCTTAACTCTCCCTTTTTAACCAAAGAGAAAAACACCCTGCCTGGAATCAGCATCACCAACTAACCCCCAGATCTGAATTTCTCCTTAGAAATGGGTCTGAAGAAGACCTACTGTTAAAGCTGTAGCCCCCAAGGGAAGGTGACAGGAGCAGCTCTAAATTTTCTTCAAGGGAAAATATGCTATGAGAAAAAAAAGTATTCATAGGTCCTGACTACTCCAAGTTTCCTCCAAATTAGATATCTTAATCTTGAGAACACACATTTTCTTCAGACATATACACATCAGAAACCACAGACCCCACCCACTGTCCCATCACCTTGCCCTACACACACACACACACACACACACACACACTCTCACACACGCACGCACACATTTGCATGCAAACACTTTTGTAATAATCTACCATAAAATACACTTCACTGAGGAACATGGTCGTATACCTCCCTCCCCGTCTCCCTCCCAATGCTGCTGATATGGTGAGTTATGTTGGGACCTGTATTTCCACTTTCATTTTTAAAGTCTGATTTCCATGCGTGTATATACTCCTTGTCTTCCCCATACATGTACATGTGGAGGCAGGATATTGAAGGGGTTGGCTGGGCTCATTTCTTTCTACCTTTCCTCTCCTGATTTTCTAAGGCCCTGTCTTCCCTATGAATGTATTTGAAATTAATGACAAGCTCTTTCAAGGACCATTGAATTAAAGTAATATAAGCCCTGATCCCCTTAGGACCTCCCACAGGCTGTGGCCTGTGGTGATCAGACCAGAATTTGATCATCCTTCACCATAGGCAGCATTGCCTGCTTAATAAAGGATATTGTCAGAGGCTTTTCCTGTCTCTGAAGTTTGCCTTGGTTCAACACCAGGAGCTGAAGACCAGAAAGGAGACCCGTCTTATCTCAGATAAGGCAGAGGCTTGGCCCCATTCTGAACCCAAAGGAGCCAGTAAATCAAAAGATTAGCATTATTCACAAAAGCCAAGATATGGAAACAACTTAAGTGTCTGTTGACAGATGAATGGATAAAGGAATTGTGGTATTTTTACACGATGGAATATTATTCAGCCTTAAAAAAGGAGACGGTCTTGCTGTTCGTAATAATATGGGTGAACCTGAAGGACATTATGCTAAGTGAAATCAACTAGACACAGAAGAACTACATGTTCTCACTTATAAGTAGAATCTAAAGACATGAAGTTCATAGAGGCAGAAAGATGAACTGTGGTTACCAGGAGAGATGGGGAGATGGGGAAATGAGATTTGGTCAAAGGGTACTAAGTTGCAATTATGTTGGATGAATAAGTCTAGGGATGTAATGGACAGCATGGTGACTATGGTTACTAATACTGTATTGTATAATCTTGGAAATTTTCCAAGGGTAGATTTTAGGTGTTCTCATCACATAGAAAATAGTAACTATGCAAGGATATGGTATGTTCATTAGCTCGGCTGTAGTAATCATTTCCCTGTGGGATGTGCATCAGATCATCTTGTTGTATACATTAGATACACTCTTTATTCATAAAATAAAATAAAAATAAGGCCTTTGGTACTGGTTTCCCAAAGCATGCACATGGGCATGCTCATCTGTCACCTTTACACAGGACATTTAGGACCCAGTGGGTTCTCAATAACAGTTTTGACCCATCAGTGGAGTTCATCATCATAAACATGTTGCCCCTTCTGATTCTTGCTTTCCCAGAGCTTCTGTGACGAGGAGGACGTTTGGGCACAGTGGCATTGCAGTGCACACGTGGTACGCGTGCCCAGCATTAATCAAGTCCATTTGGGCTATGGCTATTAGCCAGCACCAGTTCTACCTGGACAGGAAGCAGAGTAAGGTAAGTCCTTGTCCGGGGCCTGGGAGGGACTCTGCTGTGGCAGACTGTCACCAAGCTGAGGGCAAATGAGAGCCCTTGTCTGGGTCTCATTGCTGAGGGACTGAGGATTGGATGGTTGAGGGTGGCACTGTGTCCCTTGCCCTGAGATGTGCACAGATACAGACCTGCCTTTTAAGACTATAGGAAGAGTGAGATGAGCTCTTCAAGACGGCACATTTCTTGCAACTTGATCAAAAGGGGCTCTGGCCCAACCACAGTTGGCGCTACTCAAGCCATTGAATATAGTCAGGTAGGGCCCTTCTGAGGAATCTGACCGTGCTTTGAACCTCAAGAACCTCTTCTAGGAGCTAGCAGTGAAGCCCCTTTTGCTGTTTAAACAGTGGCATATTGTTTTCTTTTCAAGGGGGAAAATAAAGTAACCATTCTCAATTAATAGACACCACCTAACTGTTGTGGATAATTGCTATGAAAACCCTCCAGGCTTATTAACTGCCAACTCCAGTTTTTTAAAATGCAAAGCTGGAAACATGAAAAAAAAAAAAAAAAAAAAAGCAGCAGCCCTGTTTCCCTCAAGGCGACCTGGAGCCTCAGGCCTTGGTAAACAGTCATCCTTAGCGGGAGATTCCGCCTGCTCCAGGGGCACGGGTGCATATTCTGTGGGTGGGAGAGTGACTTCTCCTTGGTTCACACACAGCTTATATCAACACTCTGCCCCCTCTTTCAGCTGTGTCTGCCTTGCTCCCCTTGCGTCCCTCCCCTCCCCCCTCCCGCCACACACACACCCTTGGCAAACCACTCCCATTCATTACCCCTCAGGTGAAGAGCCATTTGAATGTGAGCTCTGCACTTTTCTCAGGATCCTGCTGCCTTGGGTTAGGGCTATGGGGTGGAATACAGAGCTACAAGCAATGCCAACTTTGGCCTCTGGCCTAATCAGTACCACCACCTGTGGGAGGTTTTGTCCCATTGTTTGAGTTCTTGGCAGGGGAGGAGGTGGCAGGATCCTAGGCTTACTGGGCATAAGAGTCATTGGATCGGTGTCCTTTTGGATCCTTTTGGTTCCTCTTTTCCTTATTTTCCACCTGGATGGAGTTGCTCTTTCCCTGGCTTGGGGAGATGCATGGAGGGAGAGAGCTGGGGTAGAGTGGGAGGTAAGAGAAGGATAGTAAGAAAACAGGACAGGGAGAAAGAAAGTAATCATTTAAAGTGTAATTTGGTTTCAGATCAATGCCTTTCCCAATGCCTTTCCCAGTCATTGTCTCCTTTGTAACAGCTTTTCTCCTCTACTCAGTCTTCTTCCTGACCCCTCTTTTGTTCACTTTCTGTGGTGAATGGGCATAGGGTTAAGCAATTTTCTTATTAGGAATTATGAGAGTATTCCACAGCTCTTCTAGTGGTGATGGGCATTGGCATAGGAATTTGAGGACCCATTAGATTAAAAGATACAGGGTCTTCAGTATATGAATGGATAAAAATGTTGTGGGACATTTACACAATGGAATACTATGCAGCTGTAAAAAAGAGGGATCTCTTACCCTTTGGGACAGCATGGAGGGACCTGGAGACTATTATGCTAAGTGAAATAAGCCAATCTGAAGAAGACAAATATAACATGATCTCACTTATTTGTGGAATCTAATGAACAGAATGAATTGACCAAAAAAATAAGACCCAAAGCATGGAGGCATGGAACAGACTGATGTGGGGTTAGAACAAGAAGAGATAAACTGGAGAACTTATATGCATAGCCCATGGACACGGGCAATAGGGCAGTGAAGACCTGGGGGGTGGGTAGGGGGTGGGGGAGGGGGTAAAGAGGGGAAAATGGGGAGATATCTGTAATACTATCAACAATAAAAAGTATATTAAAAAAATACAAGACCCAAGTGTTTGACTCATGCTTTAGCTTGAGTCAGTGGGTGGGTGTCATCATTTTGTCCTCCACTGGTAGGAGCTGGAGATCAAAACCTTAGAACGCTGATTCCATCCTCTGTGTTGTTCAGCAATTGAGGGGTGAGGGATAGAGAGTCTGGCAATCCTCCTAAACCCCCCTGCTAGTTCCTCCTGCAGGAAGACCCCCAACACTGATACCACAATTTTGAACAGGGGAAAGTGAAAGAGTATTTCATCCTAAGGATCATATATTAGCTGTTTGAACTCTTCTCCTGATCCCCTGCTGTTTTTTGTTTGTTTGTTTGTTTTGTTCAGATAGTCTCTTGAGTAACTCAGGAAGCTGTTCCTAGGGCACTAGAGCCACATTCTGAAAGGTGATCTTTGTGCAGGTAGAGAAGCCTCATTCATCAGGCTTACTGGTCAACCCACTGATGCAATAAGTAAACTTCAAAAAGTAATGATCAAAGAACATGTTAACAAGAGGTTTTTTTCAGAGGCCAAACCAAATGCACAGCACTAGGAAAATTTCAGCTTTCCTTCTCAGCAACCCCTGACTGAAGGAAATGCATACACTCCCAGAGCAGAACTTTCTCGGTAGGCTTTAAATGCACACAGATCCTTCAGAGCCTTTGCACTTCTCATAGGAACCAGTATCCTGCAGGGATCAATTAGGAACAAGTTCCCCCACATGGAAGTCCAAGGACCCTGTTTTCCAGTTCTGTTACCCTGGGCAAGTCTTTCATCATGGCTTTGTTTTCCCCAATTAGAGAACAGGAAAGGAAATTCCTAATTGAAATTGATTGGTCCGAAGACACAATGTTTGTGAAATTGCTTTAGGAGATATGCTATCTTTTATTATTATCATTATTAATCCAACACGCTATTGCCTGACCAACACTTATGGAAAGTTTAAATTCTCTGAAAGTTCCTCAAATTAAATTAGAGATGATAAAACTCCCTGTAGGAGTTACATTGCAACACCCTTTGTTTCTGGAATGTTGTTCTTTATGTAGCTATGATGTGATTCCTGTTGGTGGGCAGAATGGCGTCTGGATGAGTGAAGGCTGACAGGCTTGGGATGAAGAGCTTCCAGAGAGTTCTGAGCAGCCAGTATTGGCTGGCAAACCATCCATTGCTACACACTCCACTGTATCGGGCCATGCCAACCATTCCTTTCTTTGAAGTGCTGTAGAAAAGCTAGGCCTCCCAAGTGATGCCTATCAAACCCAGATACAAGTGCGGTCTAGTGGGTTGAGTCAGCAGGGGTGGGTAGCCAAGAAGTCTCATGTTCTTCCCCTGGTACTCAGTTATTTTCTCCTTTCAGGGCCATTGTGTAAATCATTTAAGGACACCAATCAATTTCTCTCTCCCTCCCTCCCCCTCTCTCTGTCTTATATACACACCACCACCACCAAAGACAGAGTGAAGGGTAAGCTTTATTGCTTGGTTTCCTGTGGCTTATTCAGAATGAGAGGCTGTTCAGGCACCAATTACAATTGGTAACTCATATGTGCTGACCCCAAAGATCAGAAATGTCATCAGCTGCATCCCTGCATCCTCTGTAGCCCAGAGCCAGGGAGTGTCTTGTAGACGTAAGAGGAAAACATTTGAAAGTTCAAATTATTTAGAGTAGGTATTAGACCCTTTCCTCTGAACTCAGAGTGAAGATTCCTTGCCTTGGCTTTCAATCCAAATATCTATCCTATTTTTTCTCTTCTCCTGAGGCAGTCTGCTAGTCTTCATTCTATCTAGAGCAAAGGCAGAGTGAAAGCATGGAGGGGGACAATTAAACCTTGCTGACAGAATCCTATCTAATAAAAGAGAAACATGGTAATTGGCATACGACCGCTACCCTTCCCATTGGCTAATCAGGGAGATATGCAAATTAACTGCCAGCCAAGATGGCAGCCGGCCGGCAGCCAGGCAGCTTAAACTGAACATGAGGCTTGCTTGCTTCAGTGATGGAGGACTGCAACGTTCCCCGCCTGCCTTGTCGGCCTCCGAGCCTGCAGTTTGAAACATTGTAACAAATATAGAAGCTAAACAAAACCCCAGAAACCAGCTTTCAGCAAGCTGGGATCTCAGAGCTGGAGTTGATACGGAGTTTCGATTATAGAACTGAAACAAACCAGATACCTGCTTTCAGCAGCTGAGGCCTCAGAGCTGGAGCCAGGCTAAAGCTGGCCCAGAATAAAAAAAAGAAAAGAAAAAAGGAGCAGTTGGGAGCTTCAGTCCCAGCCTGAAAACAGCCCTCAGCCCCTCACCCAGACTGGCCAGGCACCCCAGTGGGGACCCCCACCCTGAAGGGTGTGTGACCAGCTGCAAACAGCCATCATCCCCTCATCCAGGCTGGCCAGGCACCCCAGTGGGGACCCCCACCCTGATCCAGGACACCCTTCAGGGCAAACCAGCCAGCCCCCACCCATGCACCAGGCCTCTATTCTATATAGTAAAAGTGAGGCCTCCCGGCACCGGGATCAGCGTGACAAACCCCCTGATCGCCCTGCAGCTCTGTGTGTGACAGGGGGCGGGGCCACAACCTCCCTATCTGCCCTGCTCTGTTCCTGACAGGGGAAGGGGCCCCAACCCCCTGATCGGCCCTGCTCTGTGGGTGATAGAGGGCGGTGCCCCAAGCACCCCACACCCCACAGGCCCTGCTCTGTGTGTGACAGGGGGCGGTGCCCCAACTCCCCTATTGGCCCTACTCTGTGAGTGACAGGGGGGAGCTCCCCAACCCCCTGATGGGCCCTTCTCTGTGGGTGATAGAGGGTGGCGCCCCAACCCCCTGATCGGCCCTGCTCTGTGCGTGACAGGGGGTGGTGCCGCAACCTCCCCATCGACCCTGCCTTGAGTGTGACAGGAGGTGGTGCCCCAACTGCCCAATCGGCCCTACCCTGAGTGTGACTGAGGGTGGCATCACAACCTCCCAATCCGCCCTGCTCTGTGCATGACAGGGGGCGGCGCCCCAACTCCCCAATTGGGCCTGCTCTGAGCCTGACCAGGGGCTGCACCTAGGGATTTGACCTTCCCTCTGCCACCCGGAAACAGGCCTAAGCCAGCAGGTCGTTATCTCCCGAGGGGTCCCAGACTGCAAGAGGGCACAGGCCGGGCTGATGGGCCCCCCCTCCCCCCGAGTGCACAAATTTTTGTGCACCGGGCCTCTAGTATCAGTAATAACACTCTGTGTGGCAAGACCCTAATAGCAAAATGCTTAGAAGTGTGGAGTTTCTTTTGGGTTGGCCCAAAGGCTTGATTTTGCAAGGAGACAGTCTCCCCATCAGTACTCACTTCCTCTTAGCAATCTCTCTCCACTGGTTCATTCAGCCATTATATTTACATTCTGGAGAGACGCGGGCAGTTCCTACAACTTCTAAGAATTTAGTCTCCCTTAGGAAGGGTCTCTTTGGTCAGTTTTCCATATTTTGTTTTCTGCCTGAAGTTGATGTGTGGCAGGAGTGGAGATGAGGTGGGCAAAGGTCTTCCATGTGATTAGTGAGATCCCCACAATACCAGGATGAGTCATTAATCAAACTTCATTTAGCAAATCACTGCCAAGTCCTGACTTAGAGCCTGTTACTATTCCAATTCCATTGGCCTTTATGTGTATTCTCTAATTTAGTCCTCATCACCACTCTGCGATGTGAGTTTTAAGATCTCCACTTTAAAAGCAGCAATCTGAGGCTCAAAGGTTGAAGATGAAGGTCAAACAGTGATTGACTAGGAAGAGTCAGAATTCCAACTCAGTTCTTTCCAAGCCTGGGCCCTTCACCACCATGCTGAACTGGTCTGTGTCTTCATGAGTTTTTATTACATCATTGTGGGCGTGGGCTCCTTCTTATTAAAGCGTGGGCACTAGTAAAAGTAGTGCTGAAAGAAAGGAAGTCATAGATTGTGCTTTCTGTGCTGTGGAAGGGAAAAGTCAACCAAATGGGTGCTGTTGATAAGCTGAGGCAACTGAGATGAAAGGCCCTTCCTGCTTCTGCTGCCAGTGGGAACGCTGCGAGGGCCTGGCAGCAGGATTACCTGATGATGAACAAGGAGCCCTGAGCTGAAAGGTGAGCTGGTCCTGAAGGCAGGGACAAAAGTTGAGGTCAAGGAGATGTGGATTGAGAGAACGAGGAAGACACTTCATGGCCGGTGAACAAAAAGTCTCGTCATTTCCTCTGTTGCTCAGACTTTTGTTAAAATGGGGAAAGCTCTCAGTGGTCAGAAGTCACTGTGTTTCATCAATGTTGGCATTAACATGGAGCCATGGGAAGGACAAGGCCACAGAGGTCCCGACGTCTTTGCTAGACAGCTGGGGGCACCTGGGCACAGCATGTCACTGTAGGAGTTGGCCTGGGTGTAGCTTCCCCTCTGTGGCTTCCTTAGCTACTTCCTGCCGGCTCCTCTGGTGTGCGGGAAAGACGTGGTTTCACATGTGCCAGGTGTGAATCTCCCCTAGTTCCATCCACGTGCATGCTAACATGAAAGATGAGCATTTATAGCTGATCTCATAAAGTCCACAGTATAGGTAAAGCCCGTTGCCTAAGCACTATCACAAAAGTAGATTTCTTGCCCTGACCATTTTGGCTCAGTGGATAGAGTGCCGGCCTGCGGACTGAAGGGTCCCGGGTTTGATTCCAGTCAAGGGCATGTACCTTGGTTGCGGGCACATCCTCAGTGGGGGGTGTGCAGGAGGCAGCTGGTCAATATTTCTCTTTCATCGATGTTTCTAACTCTATCCCTCTCCCTTCCTCTCTGTAAAAAAATCAATAAAATATATATATATATTTTTTTTTTAAAAAAGTAGATTTCCTGACAAATAGAGAAAAAGCAAACAACCATCAAATACATATACAGGAAATGCTAATCCATGGCATCACCAAAGGTGGTAACTACAGCAGATGACTGGACTCTAAACGGTGACTTTTAGGAATGTGATTGTGACTGCAGAACCCCTTTGATTATTCTCACCTGCTGTGGCTATTAGCCAAGTGGGCCAGCTAATAGATGGAACAAGTGGAGTGGAGGGTTAACCAGAGCCTGAAGACTTGCCGCATACATTTAGGTGTCAAAATAGAAGCAAAGCACCGTGCCAGGCGCTTATTGGTGGGACTGGAGTGTCCAGATGAGCAGCTGTTCTAGAGGCTTTTACACCTGCACACACTTGGTGGTATAGAACAGTGGTCCGCAAATTGTGGCTCGAGAACTACATGCGGCTCTTTGGCCCCTTGAGTGTGGCCACGAAGTTTCAAATGCACTGTATGTGTGTACCCGCACGTGGTATTTTGTGGAAGAGCCACACTCAAGGAGCCACAGTTTGCCGACCACCGGTATAGAGGGATAGAATGCTGTCACTTCCCAGTCTTTCAACCTTTCCATGGTCACATGGCTAGCAATTTAAGAGGTTAAAATCACTTAAGAATTTATTAAAATTCCATGATTTTATTTCAGAAAGCTCTTATGTCACTCATAAAGCTGAAATTATTTTCCTTCCTTCTTTGAACACAAAATAGTTATAATCACTACTATTTATTGAGAGCAATGTCCAGGCAGAGAAGAGGGGAGGGAATGGGAGGAAGGTCTGTTTGCCTGCAAAGTCCCTGCTCTCAAGGACAGTCCAGTACAGCCTACAGAATAATAAGTTTAGAAAATTCACCACTCATGTCAGCTCCTGAGCCACACCTGATCCTGCAGAGAGCTTCGGTGATTGGTGAGGGGCCAGGGGACACAAACAAATGCTGCAGGTGGGGAGATGAGTCCGTTTGCTGATTTTCAGGTCTGCAAGCAAGCGCGTGATGACTGTTGTCTCAGCGTGAACAGGTGCCCCTTTATGACCTGGTTGCCTTTCTCATTCTAGTCTAAAATCCATGCCGCACGAAGTCTGAGTGAGATCGCTATAGACCTGACCGAGACGGGCACACTGAAGACCTCCAAGCTGGCCAACATGGGGAGCAAAGGGAAGATCATCAGCGGCAGCAGCGGGAGCCTCCTGTCATCAGGTAGGCACGGCCTTGGGTTGGGAGCCACCTGAGAACGTGGAAGAAGTTCCTGCTGAAGCCTGGCTTTGGCCCTGGAGGGCTCCAGGGCGGGGAAGCAGCAGCAGCTGGGGAGACAGCTTGGCAGGCTCTCCAGGAGCTGGCTCTAGTTTGGAGACCCAGGTTTCATGCCAAATGGGAATCTGAGAAAAGTGCCAGAAGTATCAAAGGGTGGGAGGAGAGGAGCGGCAGAGCCAGTCAGTGTGGGAAGGGTGGTTGGTTATCTAAGTGCCCTCGAGCGCCCTCCAGAGCCCTCTGACTGCGACAGCGATGGCTGAGTGTCAGGAGTGGCAGCTCCGGGGACAGCGGTGGGGTTCACTGTGCGTCATTAGAGGAGAATTATACTCAGGCAGGGCTGCAGGTAGGGTTGTGGTGCTGAGTGACGGTACATTGTGTTCCTAGATGAACTTCTTGAAACTTTAAAAAGTCCAATATACTCTTGCTCATTTGGAAAGGAGGGACTTGCTGTCACTAAGTACAGTACGGGAGAGCGATTAAGCGCCTTTTGAAACTGAGAGTCAAAGGATCCGATTCCTCCATCTGTTTCTGCGGGCCCTGGACAAGCCTCTTATCATTAGATGGTGGGAAGGCCAGAAAAGCTCTGAGGGTTCAGATCCAGCTGACTTTGGGAGAAGGGACACCATTCACTAAAGGGTGAGGAAGGAAAAAGAACGGGTTTGAGGAGGGCAGGGAGGGAGAGGGAGGCAGTAATTGTTTGGAAATATTAGTGAAAAGTGTTACTGATGCAGGTCACTCCCCAGGCCACACGGTCTGTCTGATTGTTCTTAGGGACAGTGTGTCCTTGCTTCTGAGCCATGAAAAGACAGCAAGAAGTCTTCGACTGACCTCAGTTTCACTTTCTATAACTGTTTTCTAATGGCTGAACACAACTACAGAATGACACAAAAAAAGGAAAAGAGACAGGAGGAGGAAGAGCTGAAAGTGACCTAGTTAGCTTCTGGGCAGGTGGGGTCCAGCGAGAGCCAGGACAGGGAGGAGGAGGATTGCCCTTCCCGGACTGGGAGGCAGCGTTACAGAGACCCGCATTGGACAGGCCTTTGTTTCTAAGGCCCTGGGAGGACCCCAGCATGTGTTCACATGGCCATGTGTTTTCATCAAATCTGCGACATAATACATTTCACATTCTTTTTCCTAAATAGAGCCACCAAAATAACAGAAGTCCAGGCTCACAAAACCTGGACCTGCCTCTGCCAGATCATTGTAGGGTTCACCATAAAACCCTCCCTGCTTCAGGATTTCTAACATTTTTTTTTTTATCAACACAATAGGCCAAATCATTATTTCTGAGGCCTAGAGGTTTACAGTAAAGACTTAGAAAATGTGGTCTTCTTTTATCAAAAAGAAGGCCATTTAAAACCTAAGCCCCCCGCCTGGAATTGCAGCCACTCCTAGTCCCCTGCGGAATGGCCAAGGGCAGGTCAGAACCCACCCCTGTGTTTGTCTTCTAGACTCTCCCGACCCCTGCTAATACCCAGAGTCTCATATTCCAAGCCTGAACTGACCCACCCAATCTCCTTATTATCCAGCCGCAGATGAGCCGCACTCAATTTTCATTCTCAGTGAGGGGGTGCATTTCCGCTGTGGTTGCATATCCGCTCAGGAATCTAGGTCCTTTGTGAACATGGCATGGTTATTCCCAGGAGGACAATGGATCATCCAGCTCAGGGCTTCTCAACCTCCCTGTGCTTCCCTACCACTTGGAGGGCATGTTCAAGCACAGATAACTGGGCTCCAGCTCCAGAATGTTTGATTCCCTTGGACTAGGGCAGTGATGGTGAACCTATGACATGCGTGTCAGAGGTGACATGCGAACTCATTTTTTTGGTTGATTTTTCTTTGTTAAATGGCATTTAAATATATAAAATAAATATCAAAAATATAAGTCTTTGTTTTACTCTGGTTGCAAATATCAAAAAATTTCTATATGTGACACGGCACCAGAGTTAAGTTAGGGTTTTTCAAAATGCTGACACGCCGAGCTCAAAAGGTTCGCCATCACTGGACCAGGGTGAGCCTGAGGACTTGCATTTCTAACGAGTTCTAACAAGGCCTCAAGTGATGCTGATGCTGCTAGTCTGGGGACCAGACCACACTTGGAGAGCTACTCTTCTTTTTTTTTTTTTTAATTAAATCTTTATTGTTCAGATTATTACATTTGTTCCTCTTTTGAGAGCTACTCTTCTTGCTGAAGGAGAGAAAAAAGCCTGAGGTGGCTGTGCTCAGAATCTTGAGACCAGGTATCCCCACTTTTAAACCTGTGCCCTGGTCCATCTGCTCAGGTGCCTTTTCTCTGGCAGCCTCCAGTGATACCAAGGTAGTGCCTAACAGCATTTACAGGTGAGGGTATGAGCAGTTCCTGACATGGAACTGACCTCACTCATCCATCAGAAGTGAGATCCAGGCAACTTTAAGGGGAAAAGCAGTTCCTCTCTCTTACTGCCATCAGCTTGAAATTAACCATCAATCTAGAAGGTAAAGCAAAAGAAAACCTCCCTGCTGAGTCCGCCCCCACCCCTAATAGAAGCATCTTTATTCCAAGATGCTGAAGTGATTTTCATGTGTTTGATCACTTGTGATGGAGGCCCCAAGCTAAGCTGTTGTTGTAAGTCGATGGAGTCAGCTAGGGCACCTTGTGCTCCCCACTTTCAGAGGCTTCTTTTGAGGGCATTGACTCATCTGCTGCACAGCTAAGCGGGAGGAAGCTGGGCAGAGGAGTCGGCTGAGAGGTGTAAGCCTTGCCCCATGGCAGGCCAGGGAATGCTTCCAACTCTGCCTCACCCTGCGGTTAGAGCCTGAAGAATGATCCTTGAATGTGAGGCTGAGGCTCCCAGGGGAGGCCCCCTTCTCTTGATTTAGGAAAGACGATAGGGCAATAGAGGGAGAGACCATAAAACAGGAAACTTCCATCCCTCAACTCAACAAAGGGAATTTCTAGAACCTGGAAATCTGGTCACCCCTCCTTCTGGGCCTGCTGATTGCTGCTTCTCTGTCTTTTCTTGTCCCAGGAGGAAACACCTTCCCTTGAGGCAAGTCCTTAGAAATTCCTTTTGGAAGGCACCTGCTTCCCAAGCCCCACAATGCACAAATCTAGGCGAGGCTCCCACCCTGTTCTTTTTGTCCTTTCATGTCCTCTTGCTTAACTGCTTCTTGAAAATGCCTTTAGTCATGTGCTCCCGCAGACTGGGAGGGCATTGCTCCTCCAGCAGAGCCCTGGTTTTAAACACTTTTTATTACACTTGCCAGACCCTATGTTCTATCTTTTGTTCAGAAAATATGAAACATATAACCTACTAGGGGCCCAGAGCATGAATTCATGCACCTTGAAAGGAACTGTGGGCTGCGGCAGGGGGTGTTGGGGGTGGGGGGGAGAGCAAGGGCGGATCTTGGCCCATCCTCTGTGCCCCCGCCTGGCCCTTCCCGCCATGGTCCTAGGTCCCCTGTCTGCTGGCAGCCCTGCTCGTGGCCGCTGCTCACACCTGCTGCCCAGATCACTCCTCAGGAGCAGGGGGAGGTTGAGAAGCCCTCAGGGGTGATCGGGGCTGGCACCAGGTGCTGGCAGCGGTTGCAAGAGGCAGCTCCGGCACTGGCTTCGGGTATGAATGGGGTGCAAGCGCCCGGCAGACCACGATGCATGGGAGCAAGGAATTTTCAGTAACCACCAGAGGCTTGCCCCACTGACAGTGACCGGCGTCCCGCCTTGGTCTGACATCCCCACTCACCTGCTCCACCATCCTACTGCAGATGATGCCCGCCAAGTTCTGCGCACTTTCGCCGCCCACCATGTTCCACGCATGCCCCTTGGTGGTCAGCGCACATCATAGTGACTGGTTGTTCAGTTGTTTGGTTGTTCCGCCGTTTAGTGTATTTGCATATTAGGGTTTTATATATATAGATATCCTCTTTGATCAGTTGACTTCTTTCCTTCTAATCTACTGCCTCATGTTTTGGAAAAAGAAAAAAAAAAAAAAAAAAAAAAGGATGGTCCTTAAAAGCATTTTGAGATATTTTCTACTTCTAGCCCACTTTCTGACATCTAGTAGGTGCTCAATACACAATTTTTAAAAATTGTTTGCATTATATTCTCATGACTTACTCATATTATAACTGGAAATTTGTACCTTTTGACTTCCTCACCCCTTTCACCAACCCTCTCTGGCAACTACCAATCTGTTCTCTTTCTCTGTCTTAGTTCACTTAGCATAATGCTTATGTTGCTGCAAATGACAAGATTTCATTCTTTTTTATGGTTGAATAATATTCCATTGTGTGTGTGTGTGTGTGTGTGTGTGTGTGTGTGTGTGTGTCTACACCACATTTTCTTGCTTTATCTATTCGTTCAGTGCTGGACATTTAGCTTGTTTTCATATCTTGGCTATTGTGAATAATGCTTCTGTGGACGTGGGGTGAAGTTGATGATTTAGTTTTCTTCAGATAAATACCCAGAAATGGAATTGCTGGGTCATATGGAAGTTCCATTTTTAATTCCTTGAGGAACCTCCATGCTGTTTCCACAGTGGCTGCACCAGTTTATCTGTTTCCCGCATCAGCAGTGCATCCGTGTTCCCGTTTCTTCACATCCTTGACAACACTTGTTGTTTCTTGTCTTTTTGGTAATAGCCATCCTAACAGGTGTGAATAATAGCTCATTGTGGTTTTAATTTGCATTTTCTCACTGACTAATGATGCTGAGTATCTTTTCATGTACCTGTTGGCCATCTGTCTTCTTAGAAAAGTGTTCAGATTCTCTGTCCATTTTTAATCAGGTTGTTTGTTTTCCTGCATGTATAGGTGGGGATGTTTCAGCACACGCTCAGTCAGGAAACATAGTTATACATACATCATATATTCAAATATGGTGGCAGATGTCCTTCCTTGGGGGAGACTTTAGTACCGTAACAGGGGAATAATGAGAACAGTTCCCGAGGAGTCCCTGGAGCCCCTTC